AAAATCAAAGCGTCCTTGGCTCCACGTTGCTGTGTACGATGGGAAAGGCGACGTGCGGAGCCGTGTGCTCGCGCTTTTGCACGCGGTTTGCCGAGGTTGCGGTGACGGACGCGGAGCGGCAGCATCACTCAAGGGAGGTTTGCAGCGCTGCATATGTGGCGACATTGGTCGTTCGTTGGTACGTGCAGGATATAGCTCTCTAACACCACCGTATGGGTCGTCGTGTCCCACGTCACTGATGCGGTAGCATTCGGAGGACTTAGCAGACCGCGGTCGGGACTCGTTCTCGTCCGAGCCAAGACGACGCAATTGTCGGTGGTATCGAGGCGTAGATAGTGTGGAGCCACGGCAAAGCGGGTGCGGCGTAGAGGCCCGCGTAGAGCGCTGGGTCGACAATGGTGCAGACACGAACGTCCGACAGCGACGCGCTGGCCTCGAGCGTCGCCAAGGCGCTTTGGAGCGTCGCTGGCAACGCTGACGACAGATGGACGCAGTAGACACCGCGCGTCGACGTGGGTTGGAGCCCCAATTTGCGGATATACAAACTAATCATCTACCATCAACTTTAAACTGCAAGGCACGGATCCAACGCGTTCAGATTGGCGCCGGCTCGCACGAGCGCTGAGAGCATGTCGGCGATCGCTCGATAGTGCGCACCCGAGGGCCATGTGCAGTGTCATGCCGCCCTACGACGGCGCCACGTCGTAGAATCCTCGCCACCCGCGCGTTCCTTGGTCACGCGGTTGACGGCCCGCTTCCAGGACGCGTGACACGATCACGTCGATGCCGCGGTAGCACGCATAGTACAAGGCCGAGCACCCGTCGTGCTAAATCGTTGTCAACGCTGCAGTCGAGTGCTGGTAACAGTACGAGTGTTTCGCGTGTACATCGGCTCTGCACGATATCAATAGTAGCGCGCAGTCGCTGGGTCCATGCTCGGTCGCTAGAAGGAGGCCGTCGCGCTATCCTAACAGCAAGTTGGGCATGCATGTTGATCGACTGGTCTTTATACTACCTTGTTGGGGGCGTTGACGTCGAAGGTTGCCGACGCCAAGAGCCTCTCGAGAACGGTGACGTGGCCAGCACTTGCTGACGTAAGCAGCGCCGTATTGCCGCACTAAAGCAAGGGTTACGGGACGTCCAAGGCGAGCTCGTCCACCGAAGCGTCAATCTCATTGGAGAAGTACGCGCTACTGGTCGCAGCCACAACGAGATCCTATCGATGCCGCACGTTAGCGCCTTGAGCAGTACCTCCGTCCCTCGCATGAGCTCAAGGTCCGAATGACACACATGGTATGATAGCCTTGGCGCTTCAATTGTCCGCGGGTGTCCGAGTATCCGGATTCGGATGAAAACCATATGTGTCCATTATAACCGATAGTGAGCCAAACGGTTGACTCCACTCTAGTCGACACCAGAACACGTACCGGTACCATGCTCGCAACTCTAGTGCTTGTAAATCGCTCGTGTCGTAAGAAGCAGTCGCACCAACCTCCTCGCCCCCACGACCACCTCGAGCCGACGACGCACGACACAGGAAGCATGCTGTCACGACCAAGCATCCGGAAACCTAGAGGTCGAGAGAAGGTATGTGGGCAGAATACAAGACGAAGCGACAGTAAGATTTGCCACAACCGTTGGGCTTTGCACCTCCGAGTCAGCATAGCAGAGTCAGCAGGTGTGTCGAGTTCCGTTGCCTTCATCGGCTGCAACCGAGTCACCGGTTCAGCGCCGGCAGATCGCCCGATGTTGCTGTACGTGGTGTCGCATCACTGTGCTAGTCACAGCTAGCTAGCATCGCTGTGAGGCCGCGATGAGAAGAGCACTGCAAAGTCCATTTCCGAAGTAAAAAGTTGGAGAAGAAATCCGTTGCGTTCAAGATCGACCAGATGGTGTACGCGCCCTGTCGCGCAAAGTGCTTGACCGATCGACCGCTCACTTTCGAGGTTTCTGGAGCATGCGTCCTACTAGCCTCCAGATGGCTGCGGCGCTTGCCGTCCTCGCCACGTCTGCGCGCAGATTTGCCTCGTACGCCTCGAACCCGCCGCCGTTCCAGCCGTGGTCGCCGACCGACCCGACCAACATGGCACCGTGCCCAATGCTCAACGCGCTCTCGAACCATGGCGTCTTGCCGCGCAGCAACATCTCGGCCTCGGACCTGCGCTCTGCACTCGGAGCGCTGCAGTGCGACAGCCTCATCCAGCGCATCCTCTCGCGCGATAGCGTCATGGCGCTGGGCCATGGCGGCTTGCTCACGCTCGCCGACCTCGATGTGCACGGCGCGATCGAGCACGATGCGTCGCTCACGCGCCAGGACGCGGCCCTCGGCGACAACACCAAGCTGGACCCGACGCTGCTCGCGGCGTTCCAAGCGATCTCGTCGGACGGCAAGTACATAACAAAGGCGGAGCTCGCGGCCTATCGCCTCGCGCGCGCCGCCGACAGCAAGGCGCGCAACCCGGCATTTCGCTTTGGCGCGCGCGAGCAGGTCGTTGCGTACGCCGAGGCCGCAGTCCTCTTTGTCGCGTTTGAAGACGACTCTGGCGCGATGCGCCTCGATTGGCTCGAGATGTTTTTCGCGCAAGAAAAGCTGCCCTTTGAGTTGGGCTGGACGCTGCGCCACATCTCGCTCTCCCGCGTCCTTCTTGTGGCTGGCGAGCTGCGCAGCTCGGCCTTTGGTGCGGAAGTGTTGGCCATGATCGCCTAAATCAAAGTCTAAGTATTCGTATTCTTATACTAGTATAATGCTATGTGTGTTTGGACTTGGTGTTGAGATCATCGGTCAGCGAGGAGCATGCAGCCGTGCGCTGGATGGCAGGTGGCAGCGCTCTGGGCGGAAGGTCTAGCGTAGCTCTGCCGTTTGCACGAAAACGCGCCAAGGATGGACCTGGAGCACAGGTTCAAGTGAGCGAAGCCGCGGGGTATGGCACTTGACGATTTGTGAGCGCCGCTGCTGGTACTCAGTCCTTGCTGCATACCCTGGGCCCTCGCACGTCCGTCGCCGGGACAAGGTCTCCTGAGTTGCAATCGTCAACGTCCCTCATGTCATCAGGCTTCAGCACTACGCGTACTTACTAGATGCGTGTCAAACTCCCTTTAAGTGCGACGGAACCGGTTCAGAAGCCGGCTGGTTGCGAGCCAATCGGTTGCGGGACGGGAGCGCTGGGACCAATTGAGTTGTCGCGCCATGGCCAAGAACAGCAGCAGCAAGAAGCGTAGACGCTCGCGGTGATGCGCGTCGGCTCATAGTGCGCTGCGCTCTGCTAGAGGACAAGGCGCCCGCGAAGAAGAAGGTGCATGCCAAGCCGACGCTCAAGAAAGGCCAGCCCTTTGCTGCCCTGAGCAAGGGCCACAAGTGCGTCCGATCATTCTACGTAGTGTGATCTCATCCAGCGAGCAGGCGTCCATCGTCGAACGCCGCCAAAGCGACTGTAAACAAGACGGTCCAGCGACCCACCAAGCACCAAGAGCTCCAGCGCAAGCAGCGCCTCGACGAGCAAAAGAACTTTGAAGAGCGGATGAATGCGACCAACCTTCGGAAGGAACGCGCTGCTTCGGCGCCCGCCTTTGTCATGGCGCCACCTACCTTCAGCTTTCTCGGGTACATCTCTATGGTCTCTTGAGCGTACAACGAGACTCTGCTCTAGGGCGAGCAACCCGTTCGTACCGGTGGCTGCGCCGGCACCGACCTCGGCCCTCGATGCGTTCATGCAGCCCCTCATGGTGCGTCTTCCTACCTGCCCAATATCACCGAATCAACAGTGGCGGTAGGCAACCGAGCAGGCGCCCACGGTGGCGCCCGTCCGCGTTCAAGCCCGCGTGTCCAAGCCCAAGAACGTGTTTGCTGCGCTCCAGGACGACGACGACGACGACGAGATGGCGCCGCCGCCGATGCTCTTTCAGATGAAACCTGCGAGCTTCCGGATTGCACCGCCCATGTTTGATCCTGACCTGTAATAGTACTAAGTACCAACTCTCCACGAACGATTCGAATGATGGTGACTCGTCTTTGCCACTGGTGTATTTACTTTTTCTGCACCTGGCGACTCCACTCCGTGAGAAGCATGTCCTTGTCGAGCTGGCGCTGCACCGCAGCTTCGTGTCGCTCGCGCTTGTCTTGTCGGTGGACGTTCTCTAAGAAGAAGCGCTCTTCGTCGCGCTGGACGCGACTCTGCATCTCGTCGCGCCGGGTCTGCGTCGCAACTTGGTCGTCGAGCTGCTTGCGCAGCACAGCTTTTCGAGCTTTTTCCTCGGCTTTGGTGCGCACCTTGGCGGTGGGCAGCACGGTCAGTGGGACGTACGGCTCGGGCAACGGCAGTGCCGCCCGCTGCTTCTCGAGCGTCTGCAGCATCAAAGTCGCTGTCGTCTCGCGCTGCGCCAGCGCCTTCTCGGCGCGCTGCTTGAGCGTTCGATATTCAGTGTTGCGGAACCGGGCGTCATAGTCCTGATCCAGTGTAAGCTTGCGGTCGACGTTGGCCGCTTTCTCTTCGTCTAACCGCTTGTACGCTTGCTCGACAATGAGCCGTTGGACCGCCGACGTCACGGGACTCGCACGCGGGTAGTCAGGAATGAGGAAGCGCGGCAGAATGCTCGGGGCTTCCGTATGCTGCGCTGCAAAGCTGACGAGGGACTCGGACGCGCACTTGACGAGCTGTGGCGACGGCTGCTTGGTGCGTCGCTTGGGCTTTGTTTTGGTGCCGCTCTCAACGGTCACAGTCGGCGCCTCGTCGCGGAGCTTTGGCGTGGCAGTGTGAACGGTAAAGAGCGGGGTCGGGTCACGGACGGGCGTCGGCGCCGGCTTGGCGATACCTGCCATGTGCTCGAGCGTCTCTAGCACGGTGCGCGTTGCGATCGGCGGCGTGTGCACGGCGGGCGATGTCCCACATTGCATCACAAATCCTGGGTCAAAGCGAAAGTGCAAACTCCGGCCGTCGACCGTGATGTGCCCGAGATTTCCAAACGCTATGCGCATCGAGCGCGTGCCCGCCTCGGTCACATCACCCAGTAGCTGAAAGAGGCTCTCGACGATCGACTGCGCTTGGTCCTTCATGACGCTCGCCTCGGCCGCGACCGTCGAGTAGTTGGCGTCGGCGCCGTGGACCGTGAGCGCCGGCAGCGGTCGCTTGGTCACGATGCGCGGGTGCGCCTTCAAAAATTTGTCGGAAAAGAGGAACGCCGGCGCGTCGTCTTTGCCTTTGAGAAAGGTAAACTTGCCAAAGGCCGGGAGAAAGATCGCGCGGTGCTGCTGCAGCTGGCGCGCAATGTACGTGCTCAGGCCACGCCACACAGCTGGCACGTGCGGGGCCAAGCTCTGGTTGTACTCGAACGGCGACGCCTCGAGCAGCTTCTGGCACTCGGCGAGTAGCCCGGCCGGTGCACCCATGTCTCGTCAAGTCGTCGCGCCGGCCTTTTTCCGTAACCGGCTAAATTTAGAGCCACATACTGAGCAAGGCCCGACAACGTTGACAGGCCGTAACCTTGACGTGGTACTCGATAAGAAATACTTACCGACAGCGCGCCTAGCTGGCGCGTCTATCGACGACACGACTAGAAGTGACCTCTCGGCAGTGCGACCGCAGAGTTGAATGCATTCTCGGTTTGTCCTCGAACTTCCCACACTACCTCCACCATGCAACCCTACCTTGCGTACTTCGCACTCCTTCTCGCCACGCTCGTGGACGCGCAGCCCATCTCGGCCATTGGGTACCCGGGCAACCTCTTCTTTGCGCAAGCCTCGACCAGCGCGATCGCCCAAGCGAATGCTTTGCAGCAGGCGAAGAGCAACTTTGCCAACCACGCCGATAGCAACAGCGGCAACGTTGGCATTGCCAAGTCACTCGTGATCGACAGCAACCATGCGAGCCAAGAAGCCAACGACCGCGGCTACCAAGACGCGACCGCACAGAACAATGCGCTTCAGAAGAGCCAGACGCGGACGAATGCGAACGGCGCCGTCCTCTCGCCGTGGGTGCGCCGCCTGGTCGGAAACTGCGGCGGGCTTGGCTGTGGCGGCGGCTGCTTCGGAACGAGCTGCGGCGGCTCGCCATCGGCCTTGTCGGCCGCCAACAAGCAAGCCAGTGCACTCAACCAAGGCGGTACGTTCAACGAAGCGAGCCAAGGCCGCGCCTCAGACGCCCGCCAGCACGCCGACACGCAGCAAATCATCAAGCGCGATATTAACAAGAAGGGCTATGCGAACGCCAACGCCAACTCGGAGTCGAATGCTCACGCGCTCTCCAAGGGCAACTTTTTCGCGGCCAAAAACATTGACCAAAACCAAGTCGTTGTCCAGAACCCGGGCCTCTTTTTGCGCCGTTCGTAGTTGTCAAGCTTGTTGCAGCTGACGCCAACTGGACAGACGTACGCAGCTAGTAGGCTCATTAGTAGCTGTCGACTACAATTGTAGCTAAACTGTGCCAAGAACAAAGAACTCGATTCACAGATCGGCATAAAATCTATTTTTAGCCATTGCGTCGAAAATATGTCGGCACTTTTTGGCGTCAATTTGCGACGACACACAAATTTGCAAACACGATGCAGCGAGCCGCATGGGTCGATGCCCACTGCCACCTCCAGGACCCGCGCCTCCACGCCAGCATTAGCGATGTGCTCACCCGCGCTGCTCGGGACGGCGTCGTCGCCATCAGCTCGTGCGCCTGCACCGAGGCCGAGTGGGCGCGTTGGCCAGCCTTTGCTGTGGCCCACGCAGCAACGTCCGTGCAGCTCCTGCCGGCCTTTGGCATCCATCCGTGGTTTGCCGGCGATGTGTCGGTGGCGTACTTGGACGTATTAGAGGCGACCTTGCGGCTGCATCCCACGGCCAGCGTACGCTTGTTGTCTTCCTGACCATGCCAGCGAATCGTGCTTGATCCTAGGTGGGCGAAATCGGGCTGTGCAAGAGCCGACGCGGGGCCGCCGTGCCCATGGCGATCCAAGACGCGCGCTTCCGTGAGCAGCTGCAGCTCGCTGCTCGTCTCGAGCGACCTGTCGTCGTGCATTGCGTCGGCGCGTACGGCAAAGTGCTGGAAGCGCTCACACTGATTCCGCAGCCACGGCCTGTGATTCTACATTCGTTTGGCGGGGCAACCGAAATGGTTCGGTCGTTTGCTCGTTTGAAGCAAACGCGCGTGTACTTTTCGATTGCGGCCAAGCTCATGGGCAGCAAGAAGGCCTCGGATATGCTGCGCGCGATTCCGATCGAGCGTCTTCTCTTGGAGACCGACGCGCCCGACCAGCTGCCGCTTGAGCTAGCGCACGAAGCCGAGCTGAACGAGCCAAGCGTCTTGCCCCGCGTCGCTGTCGCGCTCGCAGCCACGCTGCACTTGCCGCTGGAAGCGCTTGCGGCGCAAACGACCAAGAACGCTCTCGAGGCGTATGGCGTCCAAAGGGGCTGTCAATAGCGTATTGTCGTTTCTCAGTACCAAGTAGTCTGGACCTTGTCGCTATCACGAGCTCATGTCAACGACTCACATGCGGCGACTGAGGTATCGACTGAAAGAATAGATAAATAATGTATCAGAATCGTCGCTGCACCCGGTGGTACAACGCTTTGATGGCCAAGTTGTCACGACCATTATTGTGCAATCAGCAATTTTCGGGTATTTTTCCCGAATTGCATGTCCTGTCGAAACTTATTTTTCGCCAAGCCTCTAAGAATCGATATGATATCAACTCCCGAAGAGAGTCCCAGTTTTTTGTCCACCAATTGCCAGCGCGATGAGCGGGCCGAGGTGCGTCGCCGCCGATGGAACCCGCGGGCGCTCATGGCTTGCGTAGCCAAGATGCCGACGTCATGCCCTCCTTCTTCCTCGACCCGAGCGGCCACTTGGTGCATGACAAGGCGTCCGAGGAAGACACGAGCAGCCCCGTCAAGTCGACCCACGCGTACATGCCACTCCAAAACTACCAGACGCCATGGGAGGGCAATGGCCTCGACCACCAGTACCAGTCGCTTCGCCGGCGAAATGGCGCTGCGCCTACAGAGCCGACGTCCACGTCGATTCCTACGGTACGTGACTCTTGCCTGCATGGCGTCGCACGACCATTTTTAAACAGGCGTCGCTCTTTGGCTCGCTCTCGGCGCGGCTCGACCAGGCGAGGCCAGTGGACCAGCCGGCGCCGGCGACCACACAGAGCGCCTTTTCGTTTCCGAGCCTTCGGGCGCAAGAGTGGGGCGTCGACGAGCAGTACTGGATCACAGTGTTTGGCTTCTCGGCCGTCGACATGGAGGCCATCTTGAAGCACTTTCAGTCCATTGGCGATGTATGCTTCCTCGATGCATGCTCTTTATCATAGCTCATGTCTCTCTCGTAGGCGGTGCAGTATCGCTACGGGCGCGGCAACTGGCTGTATGTGCGGTACCGGACCCGTCTCCAAGCCGAGAAGGCGCTCGGCGAGTCGGGCGCGACGCTTGGCGGCACCGTCATGATTGGTGTCAAGCGCTGCTTGGTGTCTGAGATGGACGCCGACACGCCGGCGCACCAAGGTAGCACGTCGTCGACGACGCCGGCGCCGCTGCTGTCGCGGGAACTGCAAGTCGCGCCGTGCGACGACGACTTTATGGAGCCACCGCGCCGCCAGACCAACTTTTGCTCGCGGCTGCTTCGCTTCCTCTTTAACGTGTAAATCCTCCTACTGCATTCCGCACGACAAGCCGCGTTTCGCAGCCTGCATCTTCTAGACATGGGCGTCATCGTCCATCTCGTCGTCATCGTCAATCGCGTCGTCGACGATGTCATCGCCGGGGGTATTGTCGCTGTCGCTCAAGAGTGGCTTGTGCAGCGACGAGAGCACGCGCTTGACCTGGTCCGTGCGATCGACATGTCGGCGCAAGATGCGAGGCGGGTGCCACACGGACGACGACGGCGACCGCGTCGAGTAGTTGTACGAGTCGGTCTCGGGCGCAGCGTCGTCGTCGAGGCCTTTGAGCCGGCGGCAGAGACGCCAGCAGCGCGCACAGTGCTCTGCCTCGAGCTCACGGCGCGTGATGATGCCCCGGACGTTGTTGTGCCGGTTGACGACGATGAGGTGGCGCAAGCCCGAGCTGCGAAAGAGTCGGTACGCGCGCGTGAACGGCGCCTCTTCTTGGACCACGAACGGTGTCTGGTTCATGTACGGCGTGAGGTCGACCCACGCGTCCCGGTGCGCGTCGAGGAGCGTGTAGGCTGGCCCGTTGGGCGCGTCGACCGGCGCTGGGTGCGGGTAGTGCGGGTAGTTGGCTTCCATGTCCCTGTAGCTCAAGCAGTCGGCGTCGGTCGTTGGCGTCGATGTTGATGTGACAGACGGTCGTGGGTGGCGAGAGAACGGCGTCGGCTTGGCAAGCGAATAGTCATGTCGCAACAGAAGCACGTCGAGCTGCTTGCGCAAGATGACGCCGGCAAAGAACTTGGTGCCGAACGTCGGGTCTTCAACGACGACCGGAAACCCATTGTGGGTCGTATGACACAGCAAATCGTAGATGGCGCCTATGGCCAAGTGAGCTAGAAACGCAGCAGCACGACGCACCGGCGCGCTCGACCGTGCGCAGGCACTTGGGATGCCGTGTCATGACATGCTTGACGCGGAGGTGGGACCCCTGCAGCGGCGGGTCCCAATCCAAAAACGGAATGTGCCGCAGGTGAATGTGAATGTCGTAGATGCCATGGTTGAAGTAGTTGCCGACCCACCGCGCCGAGAAGAGCGTCACGATGAGCGGGAGACCGTACTCAATGTTGCCTAGTCATGGATCGTCATGTCGCAAAATTGCATTTGTAAACGAAACCAAACACACCGGTGCACTCGAGCAGGATGACTGTGAGCGAGATCGTCATGCGTGTGACGCCGCCGAGCATCGCGGCGCTGCCAATGAGCCCGTACACGCGCGGGTCGATCGTCTTGGCGTGCAAAGCTGCTGTGATCGCGTTGATGATGCGCGTCCACAGCCGGCCGTACGCTGCGCCCGTCAAGAGCGCGGGGATGAAGAGACCGCTCGGGACCTTGAGGCCATACGTCCAGCACGACGCAAGGAGCGAGAGGCCCCAAAAGAGTACGAGGTTGTTGACGTCAAACGTTTCCGGCGGCGCGTGGAAGAGGTGGCGGATCGCGGTCTCGCCCGGCGCCAAGAGAAGACTCGCCAAGTCGTTGTAGTACGCGGGCGGGCAGTAAAAGCGAACCAAATCGTGCGCATACGGGTACTCGTCGTCGTCGTTGCTCACTGCATTTTGCCATGGCCGGCGCCACGGCAAGAGCGTGTCCCACCACGACGAGACGAGCGGCTCGATCGGCGTCTTCGGAAGCCGGTGGCACGTCCCAAACGTAAAGCTGATCCAAAAGCTCATGCAAGTGATGGCCCCCGAGATAAGAATCGCTTCGAGCAGCCACACGCACTTGGTTTGGATCCAGCGGGCGCGAAACCTAGCAGCAGACGTTGCTTGGGACAGTTGCTTCAGGGGTAGGGTATACCGTGCCATGCGCGTGTTGAGCGCGTTGAAGAAGGCGCCTTGGACGCCGCCGCCCGCGCCCATCAAGATGAAGATCGGGATCTCCCACACCTGGTACGTCGAGAGCGTGAACGGGCCAAAGGTAAACGTGCCCGACTGGGACCCGAGCGTGCCCCACGAGTGGCCGGCCTCGTTGCCCAGGCCGGAAATGAAAAACGCCAAGGTAAATGTCGACACCATGGCGCAAAAGAGCGTGCGCCACGTGAGGGTTTGGTTCCAAAATGACGCGCCTACGCAAGTACGGAGGCGATTTGAGTGGATTTTGCCGAATTTTGCAGAAGTTTGCAGAAGTTTGCCGATTTTTGCCGATTTTTGCCGTTGAAATACTGAAATGTACAGTACCTTCTTCGAGGACAAAGAGGACACCGCCGATGGGCGCACCAAAGGCCGCGGCGACGCCCGCTGCCGCACCGCACGATAGGAAATCGCGCTTCTCGCGGTCGTTCCGGAAGCCCGCAAAGTAGGTAAAACTACACGTTAAAGTCCATGCGATACGTCAAACACGCAATATTGGACCTGGTATCGTAGCCCCACGTTGAAGACTTGCCTTGGGAGATCCCCGCCGCAATTATGGCCCCGCTAATTTGACGCGTTTTTTTAATTTGACGCAACATGGCCAAGGATACCTGTGGATCATCGGTCCTTCCTTCCCGACGGGCAACCCGCCCGAGACTGCGCAGATGGTCCCGATTAGCTTGCAGCATAGCGTCCGGAAGCGCAACATGCGTGGGATCTTGACGCCATTGAGCATCGACTTGATCTCCGAGATGCCTACGCAGTCGCATCCGTCGCATGGATGCTGATGGAGGAGAGCATGGTACCCGAGCCCGCGGCCACGGGCTCGCCAAAGATCGTGAGCGACGTCGCGAGTAGGACGAGAACCATGTTGAAGCCTAGCACGACGCTAAAGACGAGCGTCGGAGGCCCGGCCGCGATGTAGTGGTCGATGAGGTCGCGCTTGACGTGCGCAAGCGTCTGCGTGCAGAGGAGGAGCACGATGCCAGCCAAGGCCGTGATGAGCCCCGCGACGAGTGTGAGGACCCACCGCACGACGATCGATCGGCTCTTCTCGCGGCCATCGCGGTACTTGTAGCCAAAGCCTACATGGCCATGCTAGCCGCGTCGCGCGGTGCCATCGTACCTGACTTGTTGACGACGCTCTCAAACATGTCTAGCATGGGCGCAGCATGCCATGAGCATCGTCTTCCTCGCAGGCTCCATGCGCCTACCGTAGTCGAGGCTCTCCATCTCCTTGGCGGCCTGCTGCATGGCGCCGGATGCTCCGCAAAGGCTCTTCTTGGATCTGCTGACGATGGTCTTGGCCAATCCGAACTTCGAAGAAGAAATCTCGGCCAATCATATCGCGGCTACGTCGTGACGCCACTTGGTTTCACAAGATCGAAGCGTCGTGCGAGAAGACCGAGGAGCATGGAGCCGACGCCCGTGAAGCTCACGATGCAGCTCATCCGCAAGAGCATGCAGCTGCGCCCGGAAACGGCGATCGACGATGGCCTCGCCGTCGAAGGCGACGAGTACGTGCATGCGATGCATTTTGGCAGGCTATAAGCCAAGCACGCTGCTAGGGTCGAGCACCTCTTGACGCGCAACGTGCTGCGCCTCGACTGGCTCGGCATTGGCAAGATCGAGAACCTCGATGCGTTCACGCACGTTCGCGAGCTCTATCTGCAGCACGTACGACAACGATATACCTGCCTCGCCAGCGAAGCACATGTGGGGTAGAATGCCATCCAAGTGCTCGAAAACCTCGAGCTGCATACGAACCTCGACTTCCTTGCGCTCTCGCACAACCGCATCTCGACAGTTCGCTCTCATGTTACGAAGCCGAGCTAAGCGCGCACTAGGTGGCCAACATTGCATGTCTGGCCAAGGTACCGTTGTCATCCGGGGATGTGCTTCGATACCGTTGTAGCTCAAGTTTCTCGACCTCTCGTTCAACGCCCTAACAGCGCTCGACCTTGGTAAAGACAGCGACAACATACCAAAAAGGAAGCTAATAGTGCTGATAGACGAGCTTCCGCGCGGCCTGCGGGTGCTACGACTCGCAGGCAACCCGTGGGCGGAAGCCACCGCCAACTACGCCGAGCTGTGCTTTGACCGCCTTCCTTTGCTGCATGTACGCACCGTAGTCATGCTTTGAGAATGGACGATGCACGCGCGCTAGACATGCGACGGGTACACGCGCAATGTGCCCGCGCCGCACAGCCCGCCCCACGCGCATCGGGACCGCCACGCAGCGCTGGCCGACGACACATGTACATATGAGCGGGTCGATGCCCGACGCGTCATCACTCACCGGCGGAGCTAGTGCTTGACGATGCGGCACCGCGCGATCACGTGAAGAAGCACAAGGAGCTCTTGAGCCAAGAGCACCGCAACAAGATGCAAGAGCTCCACGATGGCTTGCAGCAGGTACGGTTCACCGACCGACTCGATTTGACTCTGTCTCTAGACGCGCAGTGCGATTGTCGAGCGGTCCACGGAGCGGCTGCGCGAGAAGCGCAAGAAGCTCCAAGAAGAGACGCAAGCGCACTTGCACGCGGCGGCGTCGCACGTCGAGCAGCTTCATGTGCAGCATGCAGCGTGGCGCAAGGAGCAGCTCCAAGCGCATCAAGCCTAAGTCCTTTGAATACAGTGCATGTATGTCCAAATACAGTGCATTGATGTCCAAATACAGTGCATTGATGTCCAAAGGTAAGTGCATTGATGTCATGAATCTGCGCCAAACCCTAGTTCGTCTTGGTCTTTTTTGACGATGCGGTGGTGGCCCGTGGCGGGCTCGGACGGTGGCGCGAGACAGCAACGACGACCACGACCACGAGGGCCGTCCAGAGCAGCCCCGCCAAGATGTTCCAGTCGCACACGCCCTGCAGCGGGTAGGTCAAGCATACAGTCGGCTTCGTTGCGACATTGCTGCTGTCGTCGTGGTCCCATGGCACGTGCGCGTGCGCTTCTCTGGCTTCCATAAGCTGCGCGCGGACCTGCTGCTTGATAAGCTCGTCCATTTCGGCTTGGCTGGGGTACCGCGAACGCACGCGACGCTGCGGCACATCGTAGTCGTCCTCGTCATCTTCGTAGACCACGCGCCGGCGCTGCCCACGCGATCGCCGCGGCGGCGCTTCGTCGTAGATGTCCTCATCATTATCGTCGTCGTAGCTTGGCGCTTGGCGGTACGCCTGTCGGCGCTGTCGGTGCTCGCGGTGTGGCTCGCGGTTATGCTGCGGCGGTTGCTCTTGCCGCTGGTGCTGACGCGGTGCATGGTCGTGTTGCCGGTCGCCATGGCGGGCTGGCGCAGGCTTTGTCGGTGGCGCCACGCATTCGTGGTCATTCTCGTCCTCGCACTTGGGCTGCTCGGGCGCTTGGGCGCGCTGCACGGGGCGAAATCGCGCGTCAATGTCCCGCATGGACTTCTCGGCGGCCTCAAACTCTTCCAGCATCATGCGCTGCATCTCGTCATGCGCGGCCGCGATGGCCGGGTGCTCCTTCTGGAAGATCTCGATCGCCGAAAGGGTGCTATCAAAGACGACGCCGTCGTCGCTGACGTCGACGCCACGCTCGCTGCCCATGGCGCCGGCCATGGCCACTGCCAGCAGCGCGGAGAGCGAGAGCATGCGCATCGTCTGCATCGCTGTTTGCAAAGTGCGATCTTTCGAGCAGCTTTCGAAGCTATGGCTTGCGCCGTGTGATTGGTTCAAATTCGACTCGTTCGACGTTTTTCGACGAATTGCGTTGCAGGAAATGTTGCACTTTCTTTTTTCGAAGCTGTGGCGCAGGCCGCCCGGGCAATGGCGCTGGCGCTGGACGAGCGAGCCTCTCGCCAGCGCTGCGCTGCACGCCCGATAGCAAACTATTGTCTTTTGATGACTTTGAAAGGGTAGAATTCCTTTCAAGGACAGATACGGATCATACATTTACCAAGTACAATCGAATTGCGTCCTTCCGACACCCAAGTCGCGCCACCAAGCGGCGGCGGGCTTGCATGTTAGCACGGTAGCGATGCGAGGAAGGGCACGTGGTCTCCGTCCTAGACCTTAGGACTGCGTTTCTCAAGTGTACTTGCAGCGAGCTTAGCGAAATGCTTGCATTGGATGTTTAAGACCTGACTCGGCTATCGAGCGACTGGGCGCTCTCCTCCATGCACAGCGCGACACCTTTCTGCAGCGCGATCGTCTTGAGCTGTTGGCGATATAACTTGAGTTGGTCGTCGTCCATGTCACTGGTGACGCTCACATTCGTGCTCGTCGCAGCGGCCTCCAGAAGGCGTTTCCAGCCGTGAAACCCGAACGAGACCGACACCAGTTCGAGCGTAAAGTGATCTGGCGCATCGACGAAGCTCAGTGCCATCGCAAGCGTCGACATGGCGTCGTCACCCAAAGCGCAAGCTTCGATGGCCACGGTGTGCGTACCACCCCGGATCCAGCGACGCAGTGCGCGGCCAAAAGCACCCAACTGCTGCGCAATGGTCATGCAGTTTGTCCAGTCGACGGCTTCGAGAGCTTCTGAGCGCGCGAGCCAGTCCACCAGCTGCCCGAACGCGCCGTTCACGAACGAACACGACTCGAAGCGGGCTTCGCGTAACGTTGACGAGGCCGTCGCGATCGACGGTACATGCAGCGTGACGTGGCACAGCGAGAGCTCGTCCAACGCGGTCAATGACTGCAGAGCCGCCAGACTGCAGTGCAGATCCCCGGCAACGGCGCCCGAGAGATCGAGCACCTCTAGCTTGGACGCATTTACCAACGATAGGAGCCGGTCCATGTAGCCTTGGTCGAGCGACGACTTTATCGCGAGGTGCGTCACATGCTGCAGCGGCGTCGCCCTCGCCACAAAGCTGCACAGAAGGCTGTCGCATTCGGTCAATACAAGGCTCGTGAGGCTCGGTGCAGTTGCGAGCGCAAGCGCGAGGGTGTCGGTGTGCGTCGCGCTCGAGTCTAAGGCGCGAATACCCACATGCATCGCATGCCCGGATGCAAGCCAAGGTAGCAGTGCATCCGGCCAGTCGGCACCGTCCAAGCGCAGCTCCAGCCGCGTGATGCGAAACGGCGATGCCAAGAGGCGTGGCAGCACGCTCGCGTCGTCCGAGAGAACCAACGAGCGGACATTTGTGCACAAGTAGAGCAGTCGGTGGCCCTCGTCGTCGTCTCCACCAGTCGCGCAGAGCTCCAAATGCTCGACCTTGCTCGCCCACTCGGCCAGAAACGCGCAAAACGGGATAGCAAACGACGAGGTCGCTGATGCGCTGCGCCAGGCGTCGCTGTACGAGAGGCTTTCGATATGAAGAGACGGGAAGAGAGGCATCGCAGCCTTGACGAGAGGAATCATGGCGTCGTCGATGGCCCAGCCGAGGGCGGAATGCGGCCAGACGCGGGCGCCGCCGACAATAAGCTGGAGAAGCGCAGCCAAAGGCGGTGAGCGCGAGGTCCGAGGCAGCGCGTTGAGAAATGCAGCCACGTCGGATTGCAAAGCGAAGCACTGGACGATGCAAACGAGCGCACGAGGTGCGTCGACGACCGAGGCCGGCGCTAACTGCACGCGTTTGGCCATGCCTCTCGAAATCTCGAAATTTCATTGGACACAAATGCGATTTGAGGCTGCCATAAATCGGAATTGCGACGACCTAAAATGTGGCGTAGTTCATCGAGCTGGTCTCATCGGTAAGGTGTTTTTCGCTATCGTCAAGGCCACAAGTTTACTGTTTTACCATCGTTTACTCGGTGACGCTGCATTGACGAGTGTGTGGTGGCGTCGACAGCTTGGCGACGTAGTGTTGTAGCCTGGATACCGGTGGGCTCTTGCGCGCTGCCACGTATAGGGATATTAACGCTGCACATTCAAATTTGGTGTAAAATTACTTCTTCACACGGGCAATCAACGCCTTGAAAATATTTTCGGCCATTGGCTTTTCGGAACCAGCGACGCCGAGCGTGGCAGCCCGAGCGACGAGAGCGATGGAGCCTCCGAGACCGCAAAAGCGCGCCGCTTCGAGCACCTTTGCCACGACGCAGCCTCGCAGATCACGCCTCTCCAGCGTGCGATACAAACTCCAAGTACACGGCGCGCGGCGATGGCTTGAACGCCTTTACAGCCCTCGACGGCGCAAGTGATCTTGATGCTTCAGAAAACGAATTCGCATGTCCCTCTACGACCCGCTCTACCACCAGAAGCGAGCTGCAAAGCTCGCTGAGGCCAAGTTGGCGGCCGAAGATGCTCTTATGCGTAAGCCAAGCCCGACGGCGGCGACGAACCTTGGTTCGCGTGCCACCGCGTTCGGGCGCAGCAAGACCCCGACGGTTGTCCGCCAGCGCGCGGCTCCAACTGTCCCGGTGACTGCGCGATCGACGATTCGGTCGACGCAAACGCCCGCCACGACGGCGGTGCAACCTCTGACGGCAAGCAGCCGCACCTCGACCACCGCCGCGCAGCGTCGCACACCGGTGACGAGCGTCGCGACTGCTCCGTCAAGTACCACCACGGATGCCACGCCTGCTAGCGCGGCATCGACGACCACGACTGAGGCGATCCTCGGTCAGCTGCGTTCGGAAGTTGCTACTCTCCAAGCGCAGGTCGTCATCCTCCAAGCCAGCCTCGACGCGTCGATGGACACGGCCAAGACACGCACCTCGGAGCTTGATCTTGCCCATGCCCAGCACGACGCTGATCTCGAGACGCTTGGAACTCAACTTCAGGCCTCGCGGGATGTCGTTGCGCATCTCGAGGAATCACT